ACCAGGCAACGGGGACACGCAGTGGCAGCGGGGAGCGCCATGATCACACGGGCTCCGCCCCTGCCCCTGCAGAACACCTCTGGCTGAGGCGTCCGGCCTGGGCAGCAGGGACCTGCAGCTGCAGCGGCCCCACAAAAAAAAACAGTGGCAGGGGGCTTCTTCCTGCTTTCCCTTTCGCCTCCCTGCATTGTTCCATACGTATGCAAATTAACCGCCATCTTTGTTGTCAGTTAACTGCCATCTGAGTTGGCAGTTAATTTGCATATAGCCCTGATTAGCCAATGAAAAGGGTAGCGTCGTACGCCAATTACCATTTTTCTCTTTTATTAGTGTAGATAATATCACAGGTACAGTACTATTAAATAAAATACATGCTTTATTTGGATTTTAGTTTTTGTACAAAAGTCTTTATGTTTGAGAAGCTTATCCAGGATACCTTGTTGCGGTTAGTGTATTTTTAATGATAGCTTTTTAAAAATTTATGCTGCTAATACATGTGACACACATGTAAAACTTAGATCATATAGTTTTTTAAAAAAATATGTTTTATTGATTTTTTACAGAGAGGAAGGGATAGGGATTGAGAGTTAGAAACATGTTAGAAACATTGATGAGAGAGAAACATCGATCAGCTGCCTCCTGCACACCCCCTACTGGGGATGTGCCCACAACCAAGGTACATGCCCTTGACCAGAATCGAACCTGGGACCCTTTAGTCCACAGGCCAATGCTTTATCCACTGAGTCAAACCGGTTAGGGCGATACAGTTTTTATTTAATAATTTTCTCTGATTATAACTTTACTGTTTATTATTCAATGTTTACCTGTATTTTAATTTTTTGTGCACTCAAAAGTGATATTAGAAATAGAGTTGTGAATAAAATTAGCACATATCTGTGACTTTCAAATTATGAAAGCAAGATCAAATTTTTAAAATACCAAGTTCATACTTAATATTGTTATTAAAAATGATTTTCTGTTTGTGTTTTTCAGCAAAAGAAGCATTTGAAAAGAAGATATCTCCTATAATAATAGATAATACAAACCTACAGGCATGGGAAATGAAGCCATATGTTGCTTTGGTTTGTACCTTATATTGTCATAAGTTTATAATAGTGGGTTTCAAATTATTGGGGATGTTAATTACATAAGTGATCTTAAACAAAGCAGTCCATGGACTGTCTGTAACTGAGGTTTCTCTGGTCTTAAGCAAAATGAGGAAAACAGAATAGTTTTTTTCATAAAGCTAAATTTTTTCAATTTTCAACTTCTGAGATTCAATTTTTAAATTCAAAGATTGTATTTTTGTTGTTAATGAGGATATTTTTCCATTGAATTTTAGAGAGAGTGGAAGGGAGGGGGAGGGACAGAGAGAGAGAAGCATTAATGTGAGAAATACACATCTATTGGTTGCCTCCCCCACACACCCCGACCAGGGCCAGTGATCAAGCCTGCAAATGTGGTACATGCCCTTGACTGGAATAGAACCCAGGACCCTTCATTCCACCGGTTGGTGCTCTATTCACTGAGCCAAACCAGCTAGGGCTGTTTATTTTTTGATGTCTTTTATGAAAAAGTAGTGGTATAAATCCGTGTGTGTGTGTATTTTTAATTCTCACTTGATATTTTTTCCATTGTTTTTTTTTTTTTTTTTTTTTTTTTTTTTTTTTTTGGTGGAAGGGAGAGGGAGAGACATCTATAGGTTGCCACCCTCATGCCCTCAGGCAGGGTTGGGAGCCTGCAACCAAGGTACATGCCCTTGACCAGAATTGAACCCGGGACCCTTCGGTCTGCAGGCTAAATATTTTTTCTTACTGCTCTTATTTGGCAGAATCAAAATTTGGTTGTCCTTTGTTATTCTCCAAATTTCTTTTGAAATTTTGCTATTCTGAGAAATTCGGAGTTTTGTAAACTCCTCTTTTCAGTTCTCCAAATTTGCCAGATTCCATTTTGCCCAGCTTTGATGTCACTTTTTTCAGGAAGTTAGCATTCATTAACTTACTAAAAAGCTGAGTTGGTAATCTTTCTGCTTTCATGGCACCCTGGCTTACTACCTCTGTTAAATCATTAAACACACTTTTTATCAGTATGCCATGGGTTGGGTAACTTACAAAACTCCAGATAGTAAACATTTTAGGTTTTGCAGGCCATGTACAATCTCTAGTGCATATTCTTTTTTTTCCTTATCTTTCTAAACTTTTTTTCTTTTTACATGTTTTTATTGATTTCAGAGAGGAAGAGAGAGGGAGTGGGAGAAATAGAAACATCAGTGATGAGAGAGAATCATTGATAGGCTGCCTCCTGCATGCCCCACATTGGGGATTAAGCCCGTAACCTGGGCATGTGCCCTCACTGGGAATTGAACCCGGGACCCTTCAGTCCACAGGCCGATGCCCTATCCATTGAGTCAAACCGGCTAGGGCAGTGGTCAGCAAACTGCGGCTAGTGAGCCACATGCGGCTCTTTGGCCCCTTGAGTGTGGCTCTTCCACAAAATACCATGTGCGGGCACACACGTACAGTGCGATTGAAACTTCGTGGCCCATGCGCAGAAGTCAGTATTTTGTGGAAGAGCCACAAAAGACTGTACAAATAAATATTGGCTGGTGGGCTGAATTTGGCCCTAGGCCGTCTATATTTTCTTGAGGGTGGGACTGTTGTTGAATTACTAAGGTATAGCACTATGGTTGGCATATAGTAAATACTCATTCCTTGAGTAAATTGATGAATGAAGCTTTTGTGAGTATTGTTTGGTTATTCCCCCAAGATTAGCACATGACTGGTACATAAAAGCTCAGTTTATGTTTTTTTGTCTGAATGAATGTCATCCTTCCTCCTTCGTCCTCAACACATCTAGCCTCTACCTCCTTTTCTGTGTATAGTGCACTTGTCCTATTTGGAAGGTGTGATTCTTCACCTCTGAAGAAAATTGTGTCCTTTGAAAGCCAATGTGATTTTACTTTTGTGCAGAGGTCATAGAGGAAACAAAGACTCCATTTTAGTCTAGTGGGAACTGAAATTTGATTTGCTCTCTGGCTTTAGGAGTTTCTAATTTCTACACTAATATATTCACCATAAGGTTATGCTTCCCCATTAACTTTACTTGGCTTTTTGTTGTCATCTGAGAAAGTTCTTTAACACTTTATTTTTCTACTTAGTAAATAAAAGCAGCGTCAAATTACTGTGATTCTGATTTTCATTTAGCCTTCAGCCTTCTATAATGTTTTCTTTTTCCTTTTTTCTTATATAGTAATTGAAAATTTTTCAAAATTGATTCCTTAGTTCTTCCCAATGCAGAAGTATAAAGGATTCCTGCTTATCGTAGAGTACCTACTCATTTTTTCTTTACAAAGAAGTAGACAGGAATTATTGTAATTTTTTGCTTCTTTTAGTTGCAAGATAATGAGAGCTGTGGAGGGGTGGAATAGATGGGTGATAACCACCTATTACCACCTTTTTTTGTTTTCTTGTTAATCCTCACCTGAGGATAGCATTTTTTCCATTGGTTTCTTTAGAGAGAGTGGAAGGGACGGAGGGTAGGAAAGAAGGGATTGAACCTGCAACCCAGGTACATGCCCTTGATCGGGAATTGAACCTGTTACCCTTTGGTCTGTGGGCCAACACTCTAGCCTCTGAGCCAAACCGGCCAGGGCTCTATTACCGTCTTGACTGTCGTTTACAAAAGTAGCTAGGTAGTGAGGTGGAGATAAGTGAGTAGTCAAGTATACTTAGTAGTAATTGGCAAATGTGTTACTTTGTCTTAAGTATATATGTATATCTTCCCTTGTAAGCTATCATATAACTTGATATAAGTCATTCAGAATCCTCTCAAGTATTAATACATTATTAAGATTTTCCTATTGATATGGGACTTGGAAACATCTTTAAGTTTATAGTCTTTACTTTTTTTCTGTTTATGTGCATTTAAAATTAATTTGATCCTAAGAGCTACATGACATCCCTTTAGGCAATTAGAGACCCAGGCTGTTGCCGGGCCCTGAATGAGTTGTATGAAATTTGGTGCTGAGGTGAGGAAATGAAAGTAAGTAGGCTCATTGTAGGGTATTATGTCTTCTGCCTCATTGTCTGGGTTGACTGTGGGCTTTTCTGTCAATAACGACAGACAGGAGCATTGATCACTTTTGGCATCTTGTCACAAAACTGAGGGTATCAGTAGTGGGAGACGAGGTCAGAGATGTAATGGTGGTTGGGGAGATGGTAGGGCAGATTATGAAAGGGCTTATAGATCACTGTAGGACTTTGGATTTTACTTTGAGTGATATGGAAGATGTATTAGTCTGCCTGGGCTGCCATTACAAAATACCACAGACTGGATGGCTTAAACAACAGAAATTTATTTTCTCACAGTTCTGGAGGATAGAAGACCCAGATTAAAGTCTGGCAGGCTTGGTTTCTGGTGAGACTTCTCTTCCTGGCTTCCAGGTGGCCATCTTCTTGCTGCGTTCTCACATGATGGAGAGAGTGAGAGTTATTTAGTGTCTCTTCTTTTTTTTGTTGTTGTTGTTAATCCTCACTTGAGGATATTTTTTTTCCATTGATTTTTAGAGAGAGTGAAAGGGAGGAAGCTGGGGGAGGGGGCGGAAGAGAGAGAGAGAGGAAGAGAGAGAGAGAGAGAGAGAGAGAG